TAGTTTTATCTTTATCAATACGTAAGAATGACCTGATTTCGATCACTGTAACAATTTCTCATATCGGCTGATAGCATGAATCAGGCAAACGTCACCTCTTTATCTATGGCTGTAAAGTTCAAAACCCTGAGTCGTTGGAAATCGACCTAGTTTTTGTGACACCTGAATTTCACTGGTGTCTAGATTTATTAGGGCATCGATATTTGGTGATACCTCATGATAATGTATGGAAATTTTACTTCCATTTAGGGATATTTACAATCATGGTTTTGCGTAATTTTCTTCATAAGTTTTGCTTCAGTCGGGATTAATTTTTTTTATAAATTTTTAATTTTCTTTGGCTACTTTTCTTCTATACGGTCTTACAGAAACGATTTCTGAAGAGGTAATCTAGTCTATGGTTCATTGGTTATTCAAAATTATAACAATTCAGAGGTACTACAACCGTTAATTGGTCTTCATCTTATATCCGAATAAGAATCTCTATATATATAAAATTCTCGTGTATCAATGTTCGTTCCCATACTCCTCTGAAACGGCTCGACCGATTCTTATGAATTTTTTTATGCATATTCAGTAAGTCTGAGAATCGGCTACTATCTATCTTTCAAACTCCTAAGTGATAAGGGGTGTCTACCCCAAAATTTATTGTTTTTATTTTTTATGATACAACATACAATAATACATACAACCCCTAATTGTCACCCCTCTATGATTAACCCCTTTATATAGATAGTTATTTTTATTGAACTAAAAAAATGTTTCCTAGACATAATATACATGGCAAAACAACGTTTGCCGGGTCAGCTAGTATTTTTATAAAATATCAATTGTGATCCTTTATTCATATTTTTCTATCAGGTTTATTTTACCTGGTCTTGAGTTGGTCTGACAAAAATCCACTTCGACTTTCATAAGAATAACAATACTGTTAACGCCTTGATATAAAGAGACAAATCTAGAAAAAGAAATGTTATGTTTATCTGTCCAATTTCATATTTTAATAAGATGTCTATTGCCTATGAATTAGGATAAGGCAGTCCTACGTTTGATTCGCACCAAGTTCCAAGACAAATCGCAAATGTACAAAGGAAATTGTCTCGTAACGAAGCTTATTAACACACGACAGTTCATAATTAAGTAAATATGTGTAAAATGAAGACAGTGTTACATTAATTAAATGCTTATTATACAGACAGCATTCCATGAATTGATTATAGATAATGATTTCAAAGATTCGCGGTGACCTTTATTTTCCTATTATTATTTGCATATTGTATTAAATTCAGATAGCATTAGTGTCATTGTCATATTGCGGTCTAGACTGGCCGTGTTATTCATAAAAAACAGTAGATTTTATTACGGTAAATAGAATCGCAGTTGCAGTGAAGTTTAGTGCATTTTTCTAAATGCTGATAGTGTGTTTATTTCTAATCAAGAAAATACTATGTACGTCAACTTGCATCTTTCACTTCATTAACTGCAACTCGATTCGTCCATCTTGAAATTTACGTTGTAAGCCTGCTTCCAATAGACTTCCATAGTGAGTTTTGTAACCATTTTCTGAAGTTACAAACTTAGTTGCGTAGTGTTATATATATTACAAATGGTCACTCATTATTGATTCATCAATATTCTATAATAACTACTACTTAAGAGACTGGCCCGGATATGTTGCCAGAATATAAGTAACGCAACTTGCAGCAACCCTAAAGGCCGGGGAAGTCACGGCACGGCAGGATTACGATGGCTAAACGATGTAAAGCTGAACCTTCAAGATATAGGAATCAGGAACTTGAAGTAAAAAGCTTAAAGTAGGAGTTGGAGGTTCTTGCTTAGGCCAAGGCCCGGTGGGGCGATGATGATGACCACATTTTTATTTTAACACCAATAGGTCCCTCAGAAAGTTTCGGTAATTATTTATACATTTTCATTATTTTATAAGAACTTATTTAAACTTAAGGAAACATTCGAAATATTTCCTATCATATACCGTAGCTAATTATAAATAATTTACACACATACTAAAAAACCAAGATAATTTTTCTTTAGTTTTATTGATCAAGTTTCTACCCGATCGGTTAATTACTGGCCGTTGACACCAGTCGATACAAAAGTGCAAATGTTTAATGATAAATAGTAAATATCTATAGGATTCTTATATGTATACAAATTGTGAATAATTTTTATTTGAAGACAACATTTGACAAGATATTTCGTAGAATGCATACTCTATCTAAATCACACATCGTTTCGGGACCGTAGTTTAAAACAATTATTATTTGGCTTTCAGACTTTTGTGTCACATTTCAAAACTAGTCGTATAATAGTTAGTTATCTGTCGAGTCAACTTGATGATCAGTGGCGAACCACGATTACTGATTAGCACACGAAACGTCAGGTAATGGTAATAATTAAACAAATTGGCGCGTATTAATTTCTGAGGCATTTATTTTTAGGGTTGATAATTACACGTTTACTACTAGATTAACATGTACACCAGGTAAACTTTATTACCAACTGCTAGTCAACTTTGCACTCAAATTTTTGTCTCGATTTTACGAAACGTTTTGTGACCTCTCACCCGCGGCTACTTTATTGTACGAGTAAGCTGTATAAGTTGTACTCATATGGGTCAAGCTCTTGAGTTCTTTTCATGTTAAACAAGAGTACTACGTGAATAAAATGTACTAAGAATAAACAAAAATCTAATAATACGATTGTCAACTCCTTTCTTCTACTGTTATTTGTGTGTTTGACTTTTCGCCGTAACCTTTACGTAACCAAACCAAACCTACAGATAAATATTTCTGATATTTAATATAAAAAATAATTAGTTCATTAGCTCCAATCTTTTAACATTTCGGATTTCACAAGTCAAGGTTTTTAAAAATATAATGTTAAAATACATTTTATAACGTATGTTGTATCGCGGGCATTTATACCTACTATTCGTGTTTGTAGTTAAACTCCTCCGAAACGGCTTGACCGATTCTCATGAAATTTTGTGTGCATATTGGGTATGTCTGAGAATCGGACAACATCTATTTTTGATCCCCCTAAATTTTAAGGGAAGTCCACCCCTAAATTACAGTTTTTTTAAGTTTTAGAGATTTTTTTATTTTTTTATGATACAGCATTAAAAATACATACAACCCCTAATTTTCACCCCTCTACGATCAACCCCTATTTTTTATTATAAATGATATACATGGCAAAACGATGTTTGCCGGATCAGCTAGTATAAGCTATATAAATGGAATATCCAATACCAAAGTCCAAAGTGCGTTCACAATCCAGAATTATAAAGTTAGTGTAATTATTACCTCTACAGGACTATACTCATCATCTATCTATTAGATCTACGTATATTGTGCAGTGATGTCAATATGTTCCTAATCTAAGCCTTTGTTGCCACGAGAATGTAAGTGCGTGCTTTCACCATGCCTCCTGCTGATAGAGGACAAATCTTTGTTTTTAATTTATTGTATTATTATTTATTACTTAAGATGTCATGTGGAACATGGTGTAATGGTTGCAGCTCCTTACAAACGTTGTGTAAAACAAAAAACTTGGCGATTAAAAAGTGTGGCGGAGAGTTTATTCCCAGTTCTTCTCTTCCGTTCTACGCCCTTGATTTGAACTGGCAGCAAATGTAAAATTAGAAGCATTTAATGTATATTTCTTTTTTGACGTTCATAAGTGTACATTGTGTTACCTATATGAATAAATAATTTTTGTCTTTTGACTTTTGATGGTATTTCTTATTTTTACCGTAGGATAGAAGTATTCAAAATTGATTAGTGAACAGTATTAGAGATAAAATCGAAATGTATTATACAGATATTATCAAAAAATATACTTTGTTTATACAATCAATGACCTAGATATACGGATTACTATTATATCAGCGTTTAGTACTTATTATATAGCCTAAGGATCATTGTATTATCTATATTAAATATATTTAAATAAACTATATAGTATTTGGAAATGATTAAGTTGCAGCGTGCGATGCTTGGTCGTTGGTTCGAGCTTCGGCTGTGCACCAATGTAAAGGCTATGAGTGTTTTTAACACACGCCCAAATAGTCGATGGCGTATGTCAGGCGCAGAAGGCCGATCATCTGCCTATTACAAAAAACAATCACGAAACAGATGTAGAAGTCTCAAGCTATTTTTATTGTTATAATTAGTTACGTACACTATTTAAAATTACTACAAAATACCTTACCGGATAGATTTTATTTGTAAAAAAAATTAAATAATAATATATGCAATATTTATGCACCTGATCGGTTAATACGTTCAAAAAGTTCGCGCAGACAATGACCCCAATGTAAATGCCCTTTTATTTTAAGGTCCCCATTTCCTACAAAAAGACAAACTTTTCCATACGGTTTTCACATAAATTCTGACTAAAATGTTAGAACGACATATAAGGCTTTGTGCCTGGTCCGTTAATTTATGTTATATGTAATAATTTGTTGCCCACATTTCATCATATATTTGTTTTATAAAATATATACAGGGATTATTAAAACTTAAAACTTTAATCTAACTCCTAAGTAAAGCTTGTATTTACTCAACAAGTGCGTTTAATTGCGCAGATAAAGTGTGAGATTAAGCTCCATATACACTGGAGGCTTCAATCCGTGCTTACGTTAAGCTCCTATGCATCCTGTCGTCAGCTTGGCGCTTATTGGAGTTTACTCACGTTGTCATCCGACACGGAATCGTTATAACGGTTTCCCGTTAGATGAGGTTACGTTGTAAATGGTTTTAGAACCATTAAATAATTTTTTATTTATTTATAAAAACCACAATCCTGTACTAACGGGTGACCCTAAACATACGAAATTAATTAGGAAAAACAAAGTTACATAATAATAATATCACTAACTACTATAAACACTAACAAAATAGAACATTTGTTCACTCAACGGAAAATAAAAAAGGTCCGTTCACCTATATAATTCGATAACTAAAGGAATACAGCGAATGATATGTGCAACTTCAGAAGGTGAGTCCTAGCTGGGCACATGCAATAAGGGCGGACGATGTCGCCTTCAGATGTACCCATCAGGCACATTGAAACTAAGGCTGATTTGCTGTTTTAAAAGAGTACCGAGAGTTTTTTACGCCGGCTTTTTCTCTCGGCCTACACCCTCCGTCTTCTTTGCCGATGAGTAGGGATGCCTTCAAATTTAATGACGTGGAATAAGTGATACATGTATCTTATGTTCCATAATAAACATATTTTATTTTATTTTTATTTTATTTTAAGGCACCGTAGTACTACCGAATTACTGTCCTTGCCATGTAACAATTTTATTGCGTACATCACAAGCGCGACAGTAAACTCACAATAGTGATATTCGTCAAATATTTTAATAGTCTCAGAATAGCTCTCAATTGTTTTTTTATCGTATACCTGTACCTGAATTAGTATTGATATAAGCAAAGTACTAGGAAAAATGGACACCAAGTGTACCTGGCAAGGCCAACAAATAAAAGATTAAGAGGTAGACCAAAGGAAAAATGAAATAAAAAGAAACGCTGGTGAAAACTGGATCACCAAAGCAAAAGACAGTAAACTAAAATTTAAGGATTAATAGGAATTTTTTTTTTTAATTCATGCACATATTATGTAATAATTAATCATATGATATACTTGTTTAATATATTAATCATTATGGAAATAAAGAGGCTATTATAATAATAATAAACAAAGTGATTGTAGCTGACAATTTATGTAGGTAACATTTACAGAGATTTCCTTTCCTTCTATGGAATTTTACATTATATATTCGTGATACACTATGGAAACAGACCGCGATTAAGGCACGTAAAGATCCTTCTGTATACCTACCGCAGCGGCTCTATCTGTTGGATTAGATGTTACCCGACAGTTGTAATCTTCACTTACCAGTCTAATGCTTTCTTAGTTATCAAAGACTTTTATAAACTATTTATCACTAAAAGTAAAGCGTATTTTATGGATTTTAATGTGTTTATTGTCTCTTAGGCTTAAGCTTTTATAACCCCATAAATACCGAATATGTTTTGTACTATATTTTTTAAAATCTAAATCATAATATGTTACATTTAAAACCACTGTGGTTTGTATTAATAACTTACCAGTCTTGTTTAGCAGCGCGACAAATTAATATAAAAATTGGGCCTGCTGTAGTGCTGTGCCATTTATTTAAAATAAGTAAGGAGAAAATATATCATTTTTAATATTATTTTTGATCAAGAAAAAGATACTATTGTTTTTGATTTTCTTGATTTTATATAATATATTTTGCGTGTATCACTAGCATAACATCTGTTCTATGCGGAACGAGAAGTACTTTCCCGTAAAATCAGCAATTTTGAATGATGTCCATTACTTCTGGAATATTAAATAGAACCCCGGGCGACTATAGCTAAATAAACACAAGGATGTTAACTACCATTTGCTTGTAAAGGACTTAATAATGTATAATTTAACATTTATGATATCTAAACTCATTGATATACTTGATGTTTTCGTTTCTAAGAATCAAAGTTTGGGTTATGACCTAAATGATTGGACGGTTTACATAATTTCAAGTTCATTTGATATAACATTTTATCATTAAAGCCCTTAACCTTCTCTTAAGATGACTTATGTGGTATTTTTAATTAAATAATATAGTTAATAAATTAATGGCGGTGTTATTTATCTCCACAGTTGTTTGTGGCACCATCGTCCATGGACAATGCTCTAGGCCTTCTACTCTCAACGTAAAGTACTCACCATCATCATAGCCTAACGCTATTAAATACACTAAAGTTAGAATGGGATGAGGGAATAAAATACAAAAATTATACATTCATATTGGTAACCCTTTATCTATTATTAAACTCATTTGGTCATACATATTGCTTGCTTTCGGTTAGTTCCAAATACGACCACGGAGCGCTGTTCATATACTCTAAATAAAAAACTATGTATTAATATTCTATTCGTCGAATTTACGTATTATATAAAACATAATATCAATATTTTGGAACTATACATAGTCTGTAACAGACTTTAGACATATTGATTGTGTTTAGTTAACCAGTAGCGCTACAACCATCAGATTTCTATATCTTCAAGGAAATGTTTACGACAGCATTTCCTTTCAATATTTCCGGTCGCTTTCCTCACGATGCTTTTATTTACAGTACGAGCGACTGTTATATGCTCACGTTAAAACCCCATTGGTGAACCGCTGGAGTTTGAACCTACCGACACTGCTCACGTCATAGTTGCTAATGTTGTTGAAAAATAACTGTCGGCTAGCGGTCTTAACAAAAAAAGGTGACCTTTCAACGGTTATCTCAAAATGACGAAGATTACGTAAAATCAAATGTTTGTAGTATGATTTGTGACAAGGTCGGCGACGATAAATTTTTACGAGCAAATAATCAAATTAATTATAATATTTTTTATTAAATTAAATTGCTTTATTTATGTAAACATTGATAACAGTTGCTGGAAAGATTTGCGTGTTATTTGCCGATTAAATTTAACTATAATCGATAAAAACTGTTAATTTGAAACCGAATTAATTTGATTAGTCGATACAAAAAATGGCGCCAGGGATTATTTATCATGGCGCCATATTATGTAAAAAATCTGACAAATCTTTAAATGATGGGACGTGATGTAAGCAGTGAATATTTAAAAATGGAATTTCGTAATTGGAACATTCGCAAAGTAATCTTGAGGAAATGCAGCCTACGATTATATCGATATCACTTATCAATGATAGCAGGACGTTGACCAATTACCGGTAATCACACAGGAAAATCCTTAGAATCCTATTTTGCTAATGATGTTATTATTAGGTTTAAACCTATGTTACCTTTATGGCACAGCTGGTTGTATTTTTAAAACATTTTGGAAATAAATATAGTCTATGTTAGAGATAATGAAGCATTCTTATATGATATAATTTATATCTGGTTCAGGTTTGAGTTTATTCCTTTTTCTCTTTCCTCTTTATAATATCAGAAAAACAAATATCGTCTATTTTTCGTAGTTTGCTTTCGCGCTTACCGTAAAACTTCTCTGTCATTATGGATACCATATGCAAAAGCAAATGCATTAATAGTGGATATATGAAATATTATTGCACTTTTATCAGAATTTGGTATCCTCGGAATCTGCGCTGAGAGTTATCTGAAAATCTGTGCATACATTACATCATTCGTGTACATTTTTTCAGTGAATTTCGGTGTAGTAATTACATAATATATTGTGTTAAGCGTTTTATTAAGAACTGCGTACAGCGTGGCCTCTCATCCTATTTTTTATTGACAAGATATTAACAGAAACTGTAAATATTTTCGTAACCTTTAAACCTATTTGAAAAACTGTTTAGCTCAAATAGCCTCGGAATTTGTCGTGCCTCGGTTATATTAGTAAAATAACATTGTATTGAATACATAATGTTTTTCAATAACAAGCTAAAGGAAAATTTTGATGAAAACATGATTTTAGTCTAGATAATATCATTACATATTTTTTTAAATATCTTAAATATACTTTTATATTTTCGATGTTTATTAAAGCAATTCTAACATTTTAAATAAGGCTTTAGTCACAATCTTAAATAAAAGAAGCGATTACTCTGGAGCAATATACAAAAAAATATAATTCTACTTTTAAAAATCTACTTGTAACTTATTATCGATAATAGAAAAATATAAGTCTATTTTTAAAAATCTACTTGTAACTTATTGATTTAAAGTACTTGCTTGACTAACTTGCTACCTTTATTAATTTGTTTGTGCACTAATTCCACCGTCAAAGTATCAACCGGTCTTTGACTGATAAACAGACAAGTTACCGTTTCCAAAGGGCATATCGAATCGAGTAACAGTTTTCAAGTGAAATCTAGCATATTCTAAACAAACAGTCATCCTTAATGTAAATTTTCTTACGTAAATTTTCACAATGTATAGTATAGTGACATATTTGTGTGCTATTGTTGTCACATTATGATTTTATTAATACCCTTATTCAACGGCATCATTAGTTTATACAATTGTATTACCAATTATTACAAAAGTAAACATAAATAGTTCTCTAAATAATACCTACTTAATTTTTTTTTAATGTAGTAGAAGGCAAACGTGCAGTAAGCTCACCTGATGTTAAGTGATACCGCCGCCCATGCCACTCACATTGCCAGAAGGCTGGCAAGTGCGTTGGTACGCTCTATTCTTGAAGGACCCGAAGTAGAATTGGTTCGGAAATACTACAGTGGGCAGCTGGTTCCACATAGTCGCGCGTCAAAAGCTATGCATCTGTGACTTTGATAAGGTTCCATGTTCGTAGGAAATGTCGGCGAGATCAAAGTAATCATGTTTACTTTTCAAAAAATTATGGTTAGGCAATGTTGATCTTTTAATTACAAGTGAAATATGGCGCATTGATATCGTAAAATTGTTTGTCTATACATATTACAAACCTGTAAACAGCTTTAAAACGGTAGTACGTTTTATGTTTGAAAAATTTAACATTTTACAAGCATTGCCAATAACAAGGAACACTATATCCGTAGCGCTGTTGTCGCAAATTGAGAATTACGCTGTACAAAAACACGGCGGTAAAATTTAAACCGCCGTTTACTTGGGCTTTTATTATAACTTACATATTGAAATTTGAAGCCCCTTAACCGCTATAACTCAATTAAAAAGTATTTTAACTCATTCTAATATCTATCTATTTCTAATATCTTAAAATTCACTTCACTAACAATTTTTGAATGCACAAAATTTTTACTTGGCACAATTATTTGAAAATAGAAACAAAAGACGTAACGATGGTGCGCTTCGTTCGACTGTGATTGGTCAACACGGGCCAATATGCGACATGATATCATGTTACATCCGTTTGACCAATCATGACGCAACGTTTCATACTACGTAAATCCTTTCAGTATTTGAGATCAATGAATAATATGCATTCGAAAAAAGCCTAAACAGTTACTAAATAATTTTATATCGAAATAATATTTTATTTATTTATTTTACAGAATAATATAATAAAATCATAATATGTTACATTAGAAAACCGCTGTGGTTTGTATTAATGTAACCATAGCAGTCTTGTTTAGGAGCGCGACAAATGCATAAAAAAGGGCACGACTAGAAGACATTTATTTACTTTCATATTATGGGTAGTATTTTGCAGTGTTTAAAAATTCCTTTCTTTAATATACTTAAGAACAGCAATATTTATAAAATACTGGAATCAAAGGTACTAGTAGACAAATGCCAAGAACTCTCCAATCATATTATTATTACGACAGATTAAATCATAAAATAATTACATTCACCCTTAGTGCGAGGCAACGCATAAAAATTAAATACAAATTTATGTTATAAGCTCGAAGCATTTTTATTTTAATTGAAATGCCGGTGTCGCCTGTACCTTTTTCTTTTTATTCGTGTTAGGTCATCGAATTCCACTCAACTTTCCTCGTGTTATCTAATCGATGACTCGGCTTACATGATGCTGTTTCTGTGAACAAACAAATCCTTTAATTAGGCTGTGACAACGTTGATTCACTGTGATTACAAGAATTTACGATTAAACGTATAATCATTTTTAAATATGGGTCATGGATTTCAATTACTCTCAATTAACAAGGAAACTTTTATATGGAAAAATTATTATTATTATAAAAATATATAATCTTTGGTTGAGTAACGTATCTCTATTAATATTAAGTTTTATTAAATTGTTTGAAGAAATATTTATTTCCAATACACAAACACAGTATTTACAATATTATTAATCTACATAGTAACAATAATAATTAAATTGTTTTATATACATATATGTAGTACAACTTTGCCAAAATTAAGTTTAATTTGGCAAACCCTTCGTCCGGTCGCAATGTCATGAGTTGTCAGAACGGAGTTATATTAATATTATTACACTACACAGTACACATGTCTATGTAGTGTTAGTAATACTATAATATAGACGCGAAGAAACTTTATCTACTTTATCTATTCTTAGATAACAAAATTTTAATGTTTTAAAATTTAAAACAAATAAATGTTTGTTATCGCCATGTAATCCCATCACGTGTCAAAGACTTGTTGTCAAATAATAGATTAATTTTATAGACTTTTCGTACTTTAATATTCAAATATCATTAACGATTAGTTTGTTGCACTTATGACATTCCCATAAGTTCATGCGGCTAATTGAATTTATTATGAGACCAGGGCGGCGACTTTAATTTTAAAAATTTATTATCGCCCGTGGTGTACTGTCAGATGATTCTATTTATTTCCCATAATCAGGTATTCCAAAGATCATAGATACTGTGGTTATAAAATACGTTTAATTCATCTGGTTTAAATATATTTAATGTGAGATATTGTATAAGATATTCAAAGAATGTTCATCTGTCAAATGATGTAATAGAGCCATTACGTTTTGAATTTTTATTTATTTTATTTACACTTCTTTGCACTCAATAATAAACAATAAACATACATATGTTTCTAAAGGCTGAGTGGAAAGGGTGTCTTTATTATAAGCTAACTCTTCCAGGCAATTCGAGCTAAAATAGAGCTAAATGTAGCACAGAATGAACATAAAAATAAATTTTAAATGCTTAAAATTATAATTTATATTATAGATAGCGCCATCTATTGGGTATTACTTTAAACCTACAAACCGTTATGTCTGTCACATGCCCAGAACAATTACATTAAAGTTAATTTAGCACATGTAACGGTCTATACGAGTATATTTAGACATTTAAAATAAATACTCGTCCGCGTATACTACTCTTATAAATCATAAACAAATAAATGTTTGTTTGTTTCAGCGAATCTCACGATCAGCACACGCGGCTTAAGCCTGGACCTGCTTATCCACTCGCCCGTGCAAGACATGTACCTCTGCTTCAACCGCTCACGACTCGTCGGCAGAAGACTGGTAAGATATTACACATTTTTACTAAAATACATTTCGCATATATTCAAACTATTTCAAATTACACTTTGTCCGCAGACAAGGTTTCAAGCCGAAAGACAACCGAACTGCCTCTTCAAAGAAGAATTCGTAGACGGCTACAACAGATACCACCTGGTAAAGAACGAAGACCGCTACATAGGGTTCAACAGGCGAGGCGCTCAGATGCGACGCGGGAAGAGCAACCTCCCCGAAAGACAGCACAAATGCTTCTCCCTGCTAAAGGAGGCCCACGACTTCGACATAAACAGACACAATACTGTGATCGCGGGCACCGTGCCCAAGTGGCGCCCCCAGCGTAGACTCCGGCCTCCGTCGCAGAACTCCATCAAGCCCCCGTGTCACGGCGTGCGCCATCACCACGGCAGGCATCAGAGGCGGCGAAACTGCGAGGGCACGTAGGTGACTCGACTAATAATTTGCAGATGCATTTACGCTTCAACGCTTATCGCGTTTCGTTGCCAGCGACGGACATTGAGTGACCAGAGTATTAGTCAACTACCACAGTATTATAACAGTGACGAGGACTGGATAGTGTTAGGTTAGCACGGCCGAGGTGGCCGCGGCATCACAAACGCCTTATGAATGGTAGCTGAAGCGAGAGGGGGAGCAAACATTTGAATGGGACAAAAAGCCACGTCCGGAGATGTGAAATTCCGTAAGCTTGTGTAATATCGTGGCGCTCGTTTGCTCTTCTGCGCTCGAACTCGTGATCTTAAAGGAAAAAAGTTCTGTGGTAAGAGCAAATAGTAGACTCACTAGTCACGGGTCTTCCGACAGACCACCGCTGAACTTTGAAGATAAGGCGTCAAAGATATTTAATCTGCCCATTTGTTTTGCCGAACTTTGATAACTGAGTTCCAGCTCGCCTACCCCGGCTCGCTCGCAATAATGTACTTACAGCTCCGTTGTCATTTCTCAGTGTATTATTTAAAATGCTTTACACTTTTAAGTATAGATCATGTTATCCGCTTGTAAATATATGTTTACTTATTTATCGAAAACTTAAATGAACATGTAAACGTACTTAGATGTAAAATTGTATTAAATTGTTTTATATTTAATTCGACCGATCGCTCTCTTGTGATTTGCCACAGTCGACCTAATTTCTTCTACACCCGACCTTCCTCATGTTTTCAATTGTATGAAATGTTATGTGTATGATTTTGAGAGTTTTGTATATATTATTTTTAAGTGTTCGTATGTGAGTGAGTTTTTGAATCTCTTTTGAAATTGTACAGTAGATTCTCGGTTGTTTAATGGTTTGTACGAGATATAATCAATGCAACTCGAATTTGTAAGTGAAATAGTTGTGGGAATATGAACAATCGAGAGTCTACTCCAGACTGATGACAGTTCCCGCACGGTCATCAAATATTGAAGCGAAATTGTAATCTAAACACATTAACAAGATCTGTGCCATAGTGTGGCAGTGCACGATTTGTAAGTTAAGTTTGTCTGTAATTACGTAGGTAATATTTATAGGAAAATATGATATTAAGTTAGTATACCAAGACCCGTGTATGTAGTATTGTCATCAAAGTGTGGGTTATCAATGTTAGACATTCCAATTAAACTTATTTAATGACATAGTCGACAATACATAGCATTCCATTGACTTAACGCTTTTACAAAGTACTGTTAAAATGTATCGCCGTGTCTATATTTATAACAGATGCTGAAAACGAAATTACATATTGCTAAGAAAATTATGAAATTAAATCATATTTAACTCGCAATCTTTGTTTTTATACCCCATCTGAATAACAGTCCTGCGATTCTGTAACTCACTTTTCGAACTCACACAGCGGTTTTCGCATCAGCGGTCGCTCTCAAATCAGTTGGGAAGCAGTCATTTTATGATTTGGCATTCTGATAAACAATAAACTACAAGCTCCCACCTTTTCAGTTCGAAAATTCGAAAAGTGAGTTACAGAATCGCAAGGCAGGTAACAATTAATAAAGTCAAGTGGCTTAGACAAGTATATAACGGAAGTGGAAAATAAAGCTTTAACTAAAATATAAATACGTAAATCAAGTCTCTGGTGACTTCTAAAAATAATTCGAAACGACAAGAACGTAAATTATTGATTTATTAACACTTCGAAAAATAATTGACATAATTAAATGAAAAGGAGGATAACTGATGGGCTTATCGCTTTCGAGCGATCTCTTCCAGGAAACCACCGAGGAAAAAATTAGATAAGGTAACAAAAAAAGTGCAAAGATACATTAAAGTTATTTAGACAAAACTAATGGAACAAAACAAAGCAATTAAAACATACTACCACCACTGCCGCCACTGGTTTGTTGGTATTAAATGTGTGTGTGAGAATTCCAACTAAAAGGATTTTTTATATTTAATTCTCATGAGACCAATTTAATTAAGGAACCCACTAATTCTTAATATAATTCAGCTATCTCTTTTAACTAAAGAGCCTACCAATTCTTAATAAGCCGGCAACGCACTTGCGAGCCTTCACCTTCATCAGATGAGCCTCCTGTCCGTTTGCCTCCTATTACATTTTTTTTTTAATGGAATCTCGCTGTTGACCTTAAGGGCCTTTACAGCTCAGCTCGGGCTGTTTTGGCGAGCGTAGCTCGGCCAGAATGGGCGTCTTTCCCGCGACTAGCGCAAGGGCGTCACATAAAAAAACAAATGCAGTCTGCTACATATAGTGTTGTATCACCTTATTGTAAAAAAATTCTTAATTTAATTCAGCTATCTCTTTTAAATAAAGAGCCTACCAATTCTTAATAAGCCGGCAACACACTTTCGAGCCTTCACCTTCATCAGATGAGCCTCCTGTCCGTTTGCCTCCTATTACATAAAAAAACAAATGCAGTCTGCTACATATAGTGTTGTATCACCTTATTGTAAAAAAATTCTTAATTTAATTCAGCTATCTCTTTTAAATAAAGAGCCTACCAATTCTTAATAAGCCGGCAACACACTTTCGAGCCTTCACCTTCATCAGATGAGCCTCCTGTCCGTTTGCCTCCTATTACATAAAAAAACAAATGCAGTCTGCTACATATAGTGTTGTATCACCTTATTGTAAAAAAATTCTTAATTTAATTCAGCTATCTCTTTTAAATAAAGAGCCTACCAATTCTTAATAAGCCGGCAACACACTTTCGAGCCTTCACCTTCATCAGATGAGCCTCCTGTCCGTTTGCCTCCTATTACATAAAAAAACAAATGCAGTCTGCTACATATAGTGTTGTATCACCTTATTGTAAAAAAATTCTTAATTTAATTCAGCTATCTCTTTTAAATAAAGAGCCTACCAATTCTTAATAAGCCGGCAACACACTTTCGAGCCTTCACCTTCATCAGATGAGCCTCCTGTCCGTTTGCCTCCTATTACATAAAAAAACAAATGCAGTCTGCTACATATAGTGTTGTATCACCTTATTGTAAAAAAATTCTTAATTTAATTCAGCTATCTCTTTTAAATAAAGAGCCTACCAATTTTTAATAAGCCGGCAACACACTTTCGAGCCTTCACCTTCATCAGATGAGCCTCCTGTCCGTTTGCCTCCTATTACATAAAAAAACAAATGCAGTCTGCTACATATAGTGTTGTATCACCTTATTGTAAAAAAATTCTTAATTTAATTCAGCTATCTCTTTTAAATAAAGAGCCTACCAATTCTTAATAAGCCGGCAACACACTTTCGAGCCTTCACCTTCATCAGATGAGCCTCCTGTCCGTTTGCCTCCTATTACATAAAAAAACAAATGCAGTCTGCTACATATAGTGTTGTATCACCTTATTGTAAAAAAATTCTTAATTTAATTCAGCTATCTCTTTTAAATAAAGAGCCTACCAATTCTTAATAAGCCGGCAACACACTTTCGAGCCTTCACCTTCATCAGATGAGCCTCCTGTCCGTTTGCCTCCTATTACATAAAAAAACAAATGCAGTCTGCTACATATAGTGTTGTAGCACCTTATTGTCAAAAAACTTATTCTTTTGGTTACATTTTTAAAACCTCTTAAATTACAGAACGAAATCCAAGTGGGCAGTTTGGCGTTTGTCGAATTTATGTCGTAACTTTGAAGATTAGCCAGAACTTTGAATTTTATTATCGGATTACGCGCATAATTTTATAGCGATACTTCGAAACATTCAAGATTTGTAATTGAAATGAACATGTGTAGTTTGATCAGGGCTGTCTCTCTGACTCTTTTCTGTACCATTCTCAGTACTGAGATAATTACGGCAACTCTTTCGCGAGCCCTCTGGCCTTGGATAGTGTTCATGGGCGGCTGTATAACTTAACATCAGGTCAGCCTCCTGCCCGTTTGCCCCCTGTTATATATAAAAAAAGAACGCCTTACATGACGTTTACCAAAGCAGAAATGTATTTACCCCATGCCCCGTTGGGAAAAAAACACATACTTTTCATTTATCAAACCAATTGAATTCCGTTCCGAAATTTGACATTACACTTGAATCTTATTCACAGACTTAATCACTAATTAAAAAGTCAATGTTTAGTGGCTTCAAAACCACATTTATACTATTGATAACTTAGTAAACTGAGCTTTAAAGCTGTCTTGATAATTGAGGGTTAAAAAAGTTTCAACTAAGCTCACCGGAAGGAGAATGTTTACGGGTTAGTGTAACACGAAAGGCAAACAGGCAAAGTGGGAATAAGAAGCCCGATGCCGCTTGGGCATGCTTACGGCAACGATTAGCACCTCAGCCGTTACTGGAATTAAAGGAAATCTTGGCTTATAGCGTCATGCGTGCTTAGAAATGACCTTCTCTTGTTAATAAATAGAACCTGTTTAATATAAATTCGAGCAGTGTTAGCCTAGTGGCTTCAGCGAGCGTCTAATACCTGAGTTCGTAGGTTCGATCCCCGGCTGTGCACCAATGGACTTCCTTTCTATGTTCGAGCAAATGTAAAATACGCATTTAACATTTGCTCGAACGGTGAAGGAAAACATCGCGAGGAAACCGACATGTCTTAGACCCAAAAAGTTGACGGCGTGTGTCAGGCACTGGAGGCTGATCACCTACTTGCCTATTAGATTTATAAATGATCATGAAACAGATTCAGAAATCTGAGGCCAAGACCTAAAGAGGTTGTAGCGATTTTTTTTTAAATATAAATTCGTATTGTTAAAATACTTCGACCTTTTAAGGCTACCTTTTTAAAGAACCAAACTTAAATATAGTCTAAAACATACTGCTTCGGATCTATAATTAAAATCCCAGTAAAACTAGATATCTTAAACTATCAATAGTGCAAATATTATTGCCTCTCCCAAAAGGTAGTTTCATATGGAGAAGAATGGGCAAGAAACTCCATACTTACTCTTTTAAGTTTTTACAATATTTTGTATACATTGATTTGATAATTATACGTAAAGACCATGTACGTC